AAGAGTTAAATGATACTATTTCTTATTTTAGACACTGTTTGATATTGGTTTAAGCAAGGTATCATAAGGTTGGAAAAAATTTTCTCTGGATTTCTGTAATAATTAAGTTATACAGATAAATTCCTTTTCTTTTTGTAAAAGGTAAAATATTTTTAGATGTTATGTTAAGGTTATATATTTTATTTATCATTTCAGAAAAAAAAGTCGAAAGTCATGCTCTTGAGCCAGTTTATTAAACGATTTAATCTTTTAGGGCTTTACTGAAGTTAAAAGTTAGAATTTGGAACACTATTCCTCGTTTTATTTAGGATACCCATCGACAACCTGTGTAGGAGAGGGAGAGAGGGAGAGAGACAGACAGAAGGTGTGTATTTGGTACCATGTGTTGTGCTAAGACAGCTTCCACTCTTTCACAAGATGCTGGATCTCCACTTGCATAGCTTGTTAAATTGCCTGAGCCTGACTAAACTAACTAATTTTTGAAACATAAGTTTTTAAAAACGAGAACTCAATTATTAAACCAGTTCTTATTTCTTTATGCTAAATGAATTGAATGTGACATGCCTGAAACTCAACATAATAATGTTATTTTTGTATGGTTGATGATTTGTGTGTGTGTGTGTGTAGTATTCTGAAAATAAAAGAGCTGGAGGTTGAATTCAGTAGTACAAGCATGTGACCAGATCTCTTCTGCCATCCCATTACAGAATTTGTTCTCTTGGCATTGAGTAGTCAAATCAACTTTTGCTATGGTTCATTTAGAATTTAAAATACTGGTAAAGTAGAGCTGATGTGAAAGATGTCAGTGGATAAAAAGGAGGCAGAATCAGAAATAAAGAAAAATTTAGTTGATGATGAATTATTAATGTCCCATTACAGATAAACATAACAATAAGTTACTCAACTTATGTTTTACTTCAAAAAAAGTAGTATTTAAAAAAGAAAAGATTTTCTACCAGACTATCTTTAAAAATACTCTCTTAGTTATCAGGTGAAACTAACTCCATATTTTCTTTTGTTTAAGTTCGATTAACTTTTGTTAAAAACCAAGTTTTGGTAACTTGGCTTGTTATAAGTGTACAGCATGATTTTTTTGTTTTTTTTTTTTTGGAGAGGTTTTCGCTATAGGGCGTGTGTGCTCGCCCAACCAAGAGAGAGAGACAGAGAGACAGAAAGCGAGAAATCACCCCCCCAGGGGGGATGGTCAAACCACAGTCCCCTCTCCTCCATTCGCCTCTTGGGATCTTGGGCACGCATACACACGCGCCCGGCGTGAGTTTTAAGCCACCAGGTCCAGGATGCGAACCGCGGTCGACTACGTGGGAGTCCAGCGACATAGCCATTACGCTAGCTGCTGGTTCCCCAGCATGATGTTTTGATGGGTAAATTGTTTTTAATAGTATTACCATGAAAAGACTTTTTTAACAATTGATACCAATAATTTTTTTAAGAGTTTTTTTGTTTGTTTGTTTTGTTTTTGTTATAGGGTACATGTGCTCACCAGAGAGAGAGTGAAACAGAGAAACAGAAAGTGAAAAATCACTCCCTGGGGGAATGGCCATGCTGCAATCCCTTCTCCATCCTCCTCTCGGGATCTTGGGCACATACGCACACACGCCTGGCGTGGGTTTTAAGCCACTATGTGCAGGACTCGAATCGTGATCAATTATGTAGGAGTCTAACGCTATAACCATTATACCATCTGCTAGTACTGAGACCAGTAATTTTTAACTAAAATGAGAGATCATGATATTTGTGAAAATATGTGAATATTTGCTTAAACTGAATTATTTAATGAACATTGTGTATTTTTACTGTCTGTCCCTATCATGTACATTGTTCAGTGTTGTACTAAAGAATCCCAAATACCAATTTAATAATTGGTAAATTATTAAATACAAGATTATTTTAAATGATACTCAACTATTTTTCTTTGAAGAAAATAGTGCTGTTTTTGCTAATTATGAATACTTACCTTTTTTCTGCCCTTAAATGCTGACACAGGCTGCATTACAGGTAAAAATAAAAATCAAGTCAACTAAAAACTAGGAAAATATGTCTAATGTAATTACTTAGATTCTTCAAGTATTAAAATTGACCAATTGAAGCAGTGATACTGTGAACATTCATATACATGCTTTTTGAATATATGTACACCCTTCTGATGGATTTATGCCTAGGAATCAAACTGCTAGGTCACAGAGTATATGCATTTCCAGCATTAGTAGATAATGCTAGTTGTTTTTTTTTTTTTCCAAAGTGTTACACCATTCCTGACAGGCAGCACTGTGCAAGAGTTCCCTTTGCTCCTTGTCACATCATTATATTGTGAGAGTTTTTCATTTTTGCCAATTTGGTGGTTAGATATTGACATTTTGTTGTGTTTTTAATTTACATTTCTACTTTAGTGACTAATGAGCTCAACTACTTGTCTTACATCTGTTGTCAGATATTTTATTTGTGAAACATCTATTCTCTCTCCATTTTCTGCCAGGTTGTCTGTTGATCAGATTTTTTTTGGTATATTCTGAATATAAGCCCCTTTGGGGTTAGATAGATGCATTTTAAATTTTCATATAGTTCACCAGTCTTCATGTTTGGTACTTTTTGTGTTTGTTTTTTTTTTTTTTTTTTCAATGAGTCTTTTCCAGCCCAAGGTCATGAAGATATCTCCTATATGTATTTGCTTTTCATGGTTAGATTTAACTTTTTTGTTTATGGTGTGAAGATCCAGTTTCCTTTTTTTTTTTCCTATTTGTAGCAGAAGTAGTTGTCTATAGTTACTAAACAGTTTGCTCTTTCCCCACTGCTCTGTGGTATACCCCGTGTTGCACAGCACATTTTCATACGTGTGGGGCTTGTTTCAGGCTCTGTATTCTGTTCCACTGGTCTTTCTGTCTTTAATTGTACCAATATTATTCTGTCTTAATTTTAGTTTTATAGTAAATCTTTATATCTGATGGAGCAAAGCTTCCTACCTTCTCTTCATAACTGAATTACCTAGTTTTGCATTTTACTATCTACTTATTTAATTGCCAGAGGATATGTGCGTTTGTCATAGAGAGACAGAGAGAAAGAGAGAGAGAGGGAGAAAGCACCTGTTACTGGCTAGTGCATGGCATGCCCCAGTGCCTTCTCTTCCATTTGTCCATCCTGTTAGGATTTGGGGCATGCAAGCATATACACCCAGCTTGTTTTTCAAGCTACTGGGGCTGGGATTTGAACTGCTGTTACCCATGTGTATCTGGCTAGGTTATGTGGCCAGCCCATAATCTAGCTCTGCATTTTGATATAAATTTCAGTAGCAACTTTCTGGTTTCTATAAAAAATAATTTTGGGGGGTTTTTAATTTAGATTATTTTAGATCCATGAATCAATTTTGGGGAAAATTGGCATCTTTTTTCAATAATATTTTCTAATCTATGAGCTTGATATATTCTTCATTTTCTTAAGTTTTCTTTAATGGTCTTCATAAAGATTTATGATTTTCTTCTGTATAGTCTGTTTTATTCCTAGACATTTAACTGGTAAATTTTTTTAAAGACAGGGTCTTGCCATGGTATCACCTCTAGTCTCAGTCCCCCAATTTAATGTTATCTTTTAAAATTTATTTTCTTGCTGTTTTCTCCTGTTATAGTAGAATAAAATAGATTCTTCCTGTTTTGATTTTGTAAGCAGTAATTTTGTTAAGTTTTCTTTTAATACTGATTTATCTCTGAATGCTTTAGGATATTCTGTGTACAAAGTCTTTTCATTCACGAATAATGATAGCTTCTTTCTTCCTTTTAGTTTGTTATCTTGCTGAGGCCCTTCACTTTAACCTTGACCAGAAGTGGTCATAATGCTCTCTTTTGTTTGCAATTTCAGAGGGAAAGCTGCTGTCAGAGTCCATCATTGACTAGTTTTGGTTTTACCTTCTTGTCCTTGGGCCCCACAGCAAAGCTCAAGTTTTCCTGATAGGCAGAGGTTTAATTAAAGATTAAAAAGTTTTAGATTAAAGCTAGAGTCCTTGTTCTGCTTATATCTTTGGCTTTCCAGTTTTCATTTAATATTTTGCCTTTAAATATTCTTTTTTATTTATCAGGTTGTTGGTGCATTTATAAAGAGCCTAGTAGTATATGTTTCATCCCAACATTATTAGTTGCTAACATTATGAAATCTGTTATATTTTAAGCACTATAATCTGTCACATTTTAAGTACTGTAAAATATCGATTGCTATTGGGACCAGCAGTTAGCGTAATGGCTATGTCGCTGGACTCCCACGTAGTCGACCGTGGTTCGAGTCCCAGACCCGGTGGCTTAAACTCACACTGGGCAAGTGTGCGTGCGTACCCAGATCCTGAGTGGAGAATGGAGGAGAGGGGATTGTGGCATGGCCATCCCCCCTGGGGGGGGTGATTTCTCGCTTTCTGTCTCTCTGTCTCTCTGTCTGTCTGACGAGCACATGCATCCTGTAGCAAAACTCTCTCAAAAAAAAATATTGATTGCTATTAATACTAATTAAAGAAATTTTTTTAAGAGTTTTTTTTGCCATAGGGCGCATGCGCTCGCCAGACAGACAGAAAGAGACAGAGAGACAGAAAGCAAGAAATCATCCAGAGGGGGGAAGGCCACACCACAATCCCTTCTCCTCCATTCTCCTCGCAGGATCTTGGGCACGCACGCACACACTCCCAGCATGAGTTTAAGCCACCAGGCCCAGGACTCGAACCACGGTTGACTACCTGGGAGTCCAGTGACATAGCCATTACACCAACTACTTCGTCCCCCCTAATTAAATAATTTATCTAAAAAAATGTAGTTGTGAATTACTACACTTTTTTTCTTTTTAAAGGATTATTTAATTTTTAAACTTTATTTTAATTTGACCAGAGAGGGACAGGGAAAAAGAGAGAGTGAGAAAGCAAGCCACCAGGTCCGGAGCTTGAACCATAGTCAGCAGTGTGGGAGTCCAGCGCCCTCAACCATCATGCCACCTACTGGTCCCTCTAGTACACTTTTTAGAAAGTCTTATTTTCTGTTTATATTTTTTTTATTTTTTAAAATTTTGCCTGTTAGGGCATGAGTGCCTTCCATTTAAGCAAAGAGAGAGAGAGAGAGAGTGAGAAATCAACCCCACCCAGAAGGGTTGGCCACACCGCAATCCCTTCTCTTCCATGCTTGTAGTATTTTGGGCATACATTCACATGTGCCTGGTGTCATTTTTTTTTTTCAAGCTTCTGGGTCTGAGACTTGAACCACATAGTTCATCATATGGGATCCAGCTGCCTTAACCATAATGCCACCTGGTGGCCCTTATTTTATTTTATTATTTTTTAAGAGGTTTTTGCTATAGGGCATGTGTGCTCCCCAGAAAGACAGAGAGAGACAGAGAAACAGAAGGTGAGAAATCACTCCCCAGCGGGGATGGCCATGCCACAGTCTCCTCTCTTCTATTCTCCTCTCAGGATCTTGGGCACGCATGCACATGTACTCCGCAAGAGTTTAAGCCACTGGGTCTGGGATGCAAACTGCGGTTGACTACATGGGAGTCCAGCGACGTGGCCACTACACCAACTGCTGGCCCCCCTTATTTTATGTTTTAAGTAACACCATTAAAAAAATGCAAATGTTATAAATGAAACCTTATGTTCCCAAAGTCAGTTATATCTTTTTCTGACTTAATCCTGTCTGCATAATTAAATAAATTATATCCTCAAATTTTAAATAACTGTAGCATGATTCATTTGCAGACTCTGTTTCATTTGATTATTTTGGACTATCATGTCATTTTTATGGTTAAGGTTTGAAAGGTGTCAGGACAATTTTTCTTTTCTTTTTTTACTTCTGAATTCAGTCTATTTTCTTTTTCCCACTTAGTAGACTCTTAGATTTGGGAGACCCTTGGGTCAGTTCTCACTGTGCTGCCCTCCCAACACAGTAGCTTTCATTTCAGCCTTCCCAGCAGGTGGTCAGCGAGCCTCTGCCAAATGTTTCTCAAGACTGGAAGTTTACTACTCCCTTATAGGGTAATATTCTACTGTTAATCCTTGGTCCAGGAATAATTTTGAAAGTTCTGAGACTGATTTGTAGATTTTAAATTTGCTGATAGCAGTTTTGCAATTTTGTTCAAAAATACTTTGGAAGTTTGTTAGGAAGTATTTTAAATATTGGCTTTCCGATTTCCATATTTCATGAATCCTTGGAGGAAAACCGAAAGTTTGAATTGCATTCAAGTGAAGACTGTCATTGATTCCATAGTCCTCATTAAAAAGTGAGCTCAGCATGCCTATTTCAAACTGTGACTAAGGTCCTTTCCTTTTGCAAAACTAAAGTTTACTTTAGGAAAAAAATGCACTAGAACCTTCATCCTGTTCCTGAACTTTTCCAAATAGTGGAGTTATTACTCCTACCAAAATTGTGGTAAATTTGAATAATCCCAATTAAGTATATCTACATGACTTTTAAAAATTGTTAACACAAATAACCATAAAATCCTAGGATAAAACAAAAACATTTTAACATAACACTCTGTAATATTTAGTTGTTCCCTTCGTCTATTTGTTTACATATTTTTTGTGCTTTTAATCATAGTGTTTATAATGTTTTTTCTTTACAGTATATTCTGTATAATCATTCATATTTCTACATAATTATATAAATCAATATAGTGATTATTGTATTATAGCCCATTGAACTACTTTAATATATTGAAGTATTTCTGCATTATTGGTCATTTAGGTTCTCTTCCTCCTTTTTATAAATATCGTTGTCTTAACTGTCTTAAAGCTTTTCTTCCATTGGTGCCTTTTCCCTAGGATAAATTTGTTGTCTAGGGAACTTAGTCAATTACATGAACTTTCATATGTATGCTTTTGTCTAGGATTTCTCCAGTGATGACTCTAAGTTAGAATATAATGTAGATGCTGCAAATGGCATTGTTATGGAAGGATATCTGTTCAAACGAGCCAGCAATGCCTTCAAAACTTGGAACAGGTAATATATTTTAAATACTACTCTTGATTTTTTTTCCATATTAACACTTACCTGACTCTCGTGACTTGCCAACTCTTTCCACCATAATGTTCTAAATTCTGTAAACTCCATAGAAATTTTTCTATACTCCATAAATTGAAGAAATTTCACTTTTGCTTTAGGTGAAACAGGGACCAGCAGTTAGCGTAATGACTATGTCACTGGACTCCCACGTAGTTGACCATGGTTCTCGTCCCGGACCTTGTGGCTTAAAACTCACACCAGGCGCGTGTGCGTATGTGCCCAAGATACTGAGAGGAGAATGGAGGAGAAGGGATTGTGGTGTGACCATCCCCTCTGGGGGGTGATTTCTCGTTTTCTGTCTCTCTGTCTCTGTCTATCTGGCAAGCGCATGCGCCCTATAGCAAAAACCTCTTTAAAAAAAAAAGAAAGAAACAGGTGAAACATGAAAACATTAATTCTACGTTTTAAAATTTAAATAAGGTTTAAACAAGGAAACAAAGATAATGTTTATAATGCTTGGTCTATTCTGACTAGTTCATTGCAGTAAATGAATTTTAAATAGGAGCTTTCTCTCACATAAGTTATAAAATCGATTTGTGTGTAAATTAAATATCAAATATAATAGATGAATAGGACAAATGAGCTCTTTCTAAAAACTTCGAGGCCCTTCCCTATCTAATGTCTGTGTACATATTTACTTAGTGTTTGCTGGTGAACCTTTAAGGTAGGTGGTCCTGATCTTTTGATCTTTGCAATAACTCTAATGACCAGAAGTTATAGGAAATGGGATTATTTCATATGTGAAATTGTAGCAGCTAATGCTCCATTATTCTAAACTTGATGGCTACAAAAACTTTGAATTTTTACTAAAGTAAGTTTTATGAAGTATAAGTTTACTACGTATCAAAATAATGAATGTATAATATTTAATTGTATTTTTCCATGTATTATGTGATAAACTGGAATAATTTCTGACATTAAAGCATGAAAAAGAATCGGTCTTCTCAGGATCCTTTAATTTCTTTTTAGATTTTTTGACATAGGGCACACGCGGTCACTGGGGGAGGGGAGAGAAAGAAAGAAAGAAAGAGAAAGTGAGAAATCACTCGTGGGGGTTGCCACACCATGGTCCCTTCTCTTCCATTCTCCTCTCTGGGTTTTGGGCACATATGCACATGGGCCCAGCATGTTGACTGTTTAATGCTTTATTGAAAAGGGTTCCTACTGCACTTACTTTGACTTCTTGATGTTGAGGTTGTGTAGAAAGAAAGGTTTATTGATATTTTCAGATACCAGTGATTTATTTTCCTAGCATTTTATATTGTCGAATGTAAATGGTACATGGTTTGTTTTATTTGAAATAAATTTTCATTTTTTTCCAAAAAATGATTGTATTTTATATGGAGCCTCTTCTAGTTATGTAGAACTTTGGAAATAATGCATGAATATTGGAGGACCAACCACAGCGGACTGGTTTGAGATGATATTTCTATTATAAAGTGAAAACAAAAAATTAAAAAAATTAAAAATTTATTTCCTAAACTCTAAAATTAAGACAATAACCTTTTAAGCTCTTTCTGGCAAATTTCTGTAACTCGAGTAGGAAAAGAAAAAAAAGTAGTGAATCTTTATAATAAATAAAAATTAGTCAGTACAGTTTCATGATAAAATATTAGTATTGAATTTTAACCTCCAGATTTCAACCTATTTAACATTAATAAAGTGATAATACAACAAATCCATAGAAACATAGCATTATGTTAAGAAGAAAAGGTGTGAACTTCCCTGGACTACTCCATGGAGAAGTGATCTCAGACTTCAGACTGAAGCACAGTCAGCATTAGTGCAAGTGGCACTGCCATGTAGAGTGGTAGGAAAATCCATTTTGATTTACGCATGGACTTTTTCATTTTTTCATTATTTGTTATGAGTTCTATTAACTCATGAACATTTGAAAGTGCAACTTAAATCAAGTATGGAGTAACTACAAAGTCTTAATTGTAGACCTATTACCTACCATTTACAAAGAGAAAAAGACAATACCTTTGGAAATTAGGCGGCTTTTCAAAGGAGATGCCATCTGCATAATATAGTGAGATGACAGTAATTGACTGGAATTGTAGGTAATAGTTCAGCTCCCAAATTTTCAGTGAAAAAAATGGAGCTTCAGAGAGATGGCTAGTCATTTAAGGTCATATAGCTGATTTGAAAAAATTGAGGTCAAAGCTTTGAATTCAGAACTCTTTTTTTTTTTTTTTTGAGAGGTTTTTGCTATAGGGTGCGTGCGCTCGCCCAACAGACAGGGACAGAGAGACAGAAAGCAAGAAATCACCCCCCAGGGGGGATGGTCATGCCGCAATCCCTTCTCCTCCATTCTCCTCTCAGGATCTTGGGCATGCACGCACACGCGCCCGGCATGAGTTCTAAGCCACCGGGTCCAGGACGCGAACCACAGCCAACTACGTGGGAATCCAGTGACATAGCCATTATGCTAACTGCTGGTTCCCAGAATTCAGAACTCTTAATTCAAGTATTCTTTGGCATTTTTTCCCGTGTTTGTTTGTTTGTTTGCTATGGATATTGCAGACATTCTGTATTTAATAAAACAGAACTTCAACTATTAAACACAAGTTTGCTTAAAAAAAAAA